AAAAAGCGGTTGGTTTGGAGATCAGAAATACTTTGAAGAAATACTTCGAATTGGGTGGTTTGAAGTAGAATTCGTGAATGTTATTTATAGTCAATCCAAATTTGTTTTTTTTTTTTTGAATTTAAATTTGAATTTGAATTTGAATTTGCGGTTGGTTTGAATTTGTCGGTGGTCAACATTTGAAATTGAATCATTTTGTACAATCTGATCAGCTTTACACATTATCCAAAGTTGTCGGTAGGAATTAATTTTTGAAATCAGGTCAGCTTTACACATTATCCAACGTATACACAACTCAGCTTTCCTTGAATTGTGTGAAAGCTTTGTACGAGTGGGAATCATTTTTTGAAATCATGTTAGCTTTACACATTGTCCAACGTATACACAACTCAGCTTTTCTTGAATTGTGTGAAAGCTTTGTACGAGTGGGAATCATTTTTTGAAAACTGATCAGCTTTACACATTGTCCAACGTATACACAACTCAGCAAATTTGAATTTTGTGACAAATTGATAACAGCTGGAAAGCATTTTCTGAAATCAGCTCAACTTTACACATTGTTCAATGTATACAACTAAGCAAAGTTTTATAAATAGCATACTAGATTAGGTACATCCACACAATTACTTGTTGTTATGTTAAAATTATTATTCTACATTTCTGCATACTTCAGTCATTCTTTTCTTACTTCAAAAATGAATTTCGATGTTGGAGGTCCATCATACTTATCATCATCTTCATCTTCGGATGATGATAATTTTCTGTCCAATATCATTGCAGAGATTGATGAAACTGAAGAAGTAATTTGTGAGTACATCAACAACAACATGATCATCGTTAACAATTTACGTCAACACAACTACCAACCGATCCATGGTGGCTCGATTCTCGGTCATGCAGTGATCAACCGCGATCGAGAAAATGCGCATCAGAATTTGGTCATAGATTACTTTGCCGATAATCCACGTTTTGGAGAAGATATGTTTCGTCGTCGATATCGGATGTCAAGAAGTTTGTTCCTTCGTATTGTTGATGCAGTGAAAGATCATGACTATTACTTCCAACAACGAAGTGATGGACTTGGTAGAATGGGATTATCACCGTTACAGAAAGTAACAGCTGTTTTTCGCATGTTGGCATACGGTCTACCAGCTGATGCTACGGACGAATACGTTAAAATAGGTGAGTCAACAGCAATTGAAAGTATGACAAAATTTTGTCGTGCTATGGTGGAAATATTCGCAGAGCGGTATCTACGAACACCTAACGCTAACGATATTGCTAGGCTACTCTATATTGGAAAAAAAACGTGGTTTTCCAGGAATGTTAGGAAGTCTTGATTGTATGCATTGGAAATGGAAAAATTGTCCAACAGCATGGTCTGGGCAATACACAGGACGTAGTGGGTCACCAACTATTATCCTCGAAGCTGTGGCAGATTATGATCTTCCTATATGATAGAGATATATGCAAGGATATATAAACAACACAAGGGTAAATAAACTAAACAAGATAGTGGATGAAATAAATGAGTAATGCACAATTGGCGATATAAGATAAATGTAAAAACAAATACGCCAAAGACAAACTCAAACAAGCAATATGATCACGGAGTTCGGACCTTCCGTCCTACGTCTCCGCTCCCCACTCCCGGGGAGAAATCCACTATCAAACGGGTTTTCTACGTTCCCCCGTACAACATTTACACCACACACTCGGTTTTCTAGCTAACCGAAAACTCTACAACTCACACTCTTGCAATCACACTCTACACCCACTAAGTGTTGGACCTAGCCGTGTCTCCCTCAAGTGCTCGGTCACAACCTCTCCCTAGGCTCGTCAACCGACGCCACTCCTCTTGGGACGATCCCCGACTCTCACCACACACTCCTCACTCGGTGTACAAGAGTATTACAAAGTGATTTAACAATTAAGCACAATATAGCAAATGATTGTTCTCTCTAACAAGGTGAGAACTCAATTAGGCTCAACTCAATGTCACACTATCCCACAACCCAATTATATAATGTATGCAAATACAATAAGCTCAATGGTTGTGTGTGCAAACAAAGAGTAAATCAAATCAAACTAAACTCAATATAAAACTAGCTTTAATAGAAATGATAATCAACAAATAATTATAAATAAAAGCTAGACTTGAGTTTAGGAAAACTTCTCTAGATCAAGATGGAGAGATGGAGATATGAAGCCCAAACAAGAAGATGATCTCCTCCACTTGTGAAAATAATCTTCAAACCAAACAAACACTAAAACTCACTTAAACCCTTGTTTAAAACTCTTTAAACTTGTTTAAAACATTTCTTGAGTTACCTTAGAGGTATGAGGGCATGGGGTATATATAGGCTCATGAAACAACCCCAAAAACCAATAAAAACACCCCCAAAACATTAAAATAAACAAAAAACAGAACTAGCTGTTACTGTAGCAACGGTCGGATGCTACAGTACTTCGGTCGACCGGTACGGTCGACCGAGAGCCATCTGCAAAATGAAAATCTGATTTGCTGATTTTAAAATGTTGTTTAAAAATATCAAATAAATTCTAAAAAATGTAAAACTTTGGGGAATGATTGTAGACATGATAATAAACATGCTACAGCGACTGGTTATCAGAAAGGACCTCCCAAATGAAAAATATCATTATTTTACAAAATAGTCCAAAACATGAAAATATGATATACTTGAATTTTGATGTTTTGACATAAACCAACTTTTGAAACTTTGTAAAATATTTTTATAGACTTAGTAAAACATGTATAAACTGATATTGAAGTCTACAAACTAAGAATATAATATTTTCACAAAATTGCATATTCTATGCAATGTTTTCAAAAACACAATAGAAAATATGAAATATATAATTTCATATATATAATCATAAAAACTCAAAACACATGTATGTATATATATATAACTATATATATGCATAGAAACCAAAACTTTTGTATATATATATATAACTATATATATATACGAAGAAACCAATAAAATGTGTGTGTATAGATATTGAGCTTAACGTATTAAACACACATAATATAAACATATACTAAATTACCCAAGCTTGATCTTGATCTTCATTGAGGCTCAACTTGGTACACGTTACGGATGAAGCTAAACTTGGATCTTGAACTTGAATTGTACGATGCTTCACTCCACAATTCCGCTAACCTCCTCTTGATATGATCGTGTAGGCTCAATCCATCCATCCTCCAACTACGTTGTTTGTCTACAAAACATGGGAATGCACAAATACTAGACAAACAACATTAGTAGTAAATTGTTTGTAAATCATCATCAAAACAAGAAGGCCAACAACGTGGTTTTCCAGGAATGTTAGGAAGTCTTGATTGTATGCATTAGAAATGGAAAAATTGTCCAACAGCATAGTCTAGGCAATACACAGGACGTAGTGGGTCACCAACTATTATCCTTGAAGTTGTGGCAGATTATGATCTTTGGATATGGCACGCATATTTTGGTATGCCAGGCACCAATAATGATATCAATGTGCTGGAGTCATCTAATCTTTTCTCTAACCTAGCTCAAGGTATTGCTCCTCCCGCTCACTATGTTATTCAAGAAAAAGAGTATAATATGGGTTATTATTAATATGTGTTATTATTTAGCTGATGGTATATATCCGAAATGGGCTACTATTGTACAAACAATCCAACAGCCACAAGGTAGGAAGAAAAAATATTTTTTCATAAAACAGGAAGCATGTAGAAAAGATGTAGAACGTGCGTTCGGAGTTCTCCAATCACGATTTGCAATCGTGGCAGGATCAGCACGTTTTTGGAAAAAACATGTATTACATGACATAATGACTACATGCATTATTATGCACAATATGATAATCGAGGATGAACGTGATCTTTATGCACCAATTCAAGAAGTGAGGGATGCACCAACACCAAAAGTTGATATGGTAGCAGATGAAACTACAAGATTTACTCAATTTATTGCACGTTACGGAAAAATCAAGGATAAAGATGCCCATATTGCGCTTCGTAATGCATTGATAGATCATCTATGGGAGGAATACACTAATTCAGATAGTTAAGAGCATACTAAATTTGTAATTTTTACATTGTTGTTAATGTTTAATTATTTTATTGTATTTTATTTTCTGTTGTGTTCTTGAATGTAATATTTTGGCAATATTAATAATAAAATTATAATATTTTATTGTTTTATTAGTTTAATTTTTTAAATAATAAATCATTTTGTTTGGAAAATATGTGAAAAAATAAAATTTGATATGTGGGGTTAATTGTTGAAATAGTTAAAAATATAGGGAATAAAAAATAATCATATAAAAGTAGATAAAAAGAAAGATACTAAGAATATTCCTTTTTGGTGCAAAAAATGGTGCAATGGGATGGAGATGAATTACTGTTAGATGTGACTTTTGCACTATTTTGGTGCAAAATTTGCACCATTTTAGTGCGATGGGTTGAAGATGCCCTAAGGGTTATATCTCTAAACTTAGGATAATATTTTATTTAGTACATTGCACTCTATGTAATATATTATTTAGTACATTGCACTCTCTGACAAGTTGGTCATATGCGAGTTCGCATGGTGTGTATTTTGAAGTTGGATTCTCTTTGCCAAAAAAAAGTAATAGAGAGATCACTCATTTTATCATAATTATTGATTCGTTTAGTAAGTGGTTATGATTTATTTCAAACATAGCACTCATTATGACCTCGATGTTTGCACTCATTTTCTAATTTGCACTTAAAGACATATCACAACTATTAACTACACAAATTACCGGTTATGATGAGAGTAGTGGTCTCTACAGAGGATCTAAATCCGTGTATTTTGTTGGTTACAAGTGACCATTTAAATACTTGTGAAGTTCAACTTTATATCCCTTGCAAAGGCGTTGTAGATTCTGCCAAATGGTTGAGGGCCATTACTGATTTACCAGTAGGAATTCTATCAGAACCATTCATATATGAATGACATTATCTATACCTATATCACAAGTAGAGGACTTGCAATGTCCAAACTAAACTTCCACTCGTGAATGATATGTAGCACGTCGTGTTTTCATAGAATCCTAACTCCTAACTTACCATTATGATAGCCTTTGAAACTCCAAACATGAAAAGAGAGGCACTAGAGGCACACTCTTCACCACACCTCCCCTTCTGCTACAATGCACCGGGGCCCACTTAAGATTTAAATTTTAAATCTCAAGTGGCCCCCGGTGCACTGTAGCAGGAGGGGAGGTGTGGTTAGAGGTGTGGTGGAGAGTGTGTCTCTATCATTTCTCACATGAAAATTACATATACTGTATTGACATACACGAGAGGTTTATTTGGTCTCATTAAGAGATGCAATTTTTTCTCCAACCGGTGGAGTATGTACGGTTCCAAGGAAGAACACCTTATAATTGGCGTTATTTTCACAAAGTCATGTGCGGAAAGGGGAAAAAAAAGAAGGACAAAAAGGAAAAAAAAAGAAAAAAAAGAAAAGAAGGCTGCCCCACCTCCACCTTAACATGAAGACCCCTTTCTCCCTCCTCGCCCACATACACTTCCGAACAACAATAATAATAAAATTCTAGCTTTTATGAGCGATAAGATATAAAATTTTACAATTAACTATTGAAAATTTGATGTTGTTTAGTGTGAAGTATGAATTGAGGGCTTACACAATTTAGAAGGCAATATATCATATATATAATTATTTAGAGAGTAATTAAAAAGGTACGTCTGATTTCAGAGAGTATCAATAAATAAATAAAAAAGCCTCCATTTTAATAATTCATAAATATCTACGAAGTATGACTAACGAAATGAATTTTGCAATGTGCGTTGATTGACAATGAAAAGAGAATCCAAATTTGCTCGTGAGAATTTGCCCTGAGAGAGAGCAAACTGATCACACACGCTCAGTATTCCAAAAATATGAGGTCTCATGTTCTATCGCACAATTCTAGGGTCAAGACCAAATTGACAGAGCAACGCGAGCGGACAACGTCCAGTAAATCCAAAAAATCTAAAAACTAACCGATCCAGTCGCTAATTTGTTAAAATGAGGGGAAGAAAATCCCGATTTCAGCCCTTAACATTTACCAAATTTACATTTACAACCCCCCCACCCCACAACGCCCAAAATCAGATCAGATCTCAGCATCTAACCCACATCACCGCCCCACTCGCC